CACCTAGCTTGGTAAATGCGCTTGATTTGGAATCCACATCACTTTTTCCAAGTACTGCTCCTGGAATGAACTTTGACTGACAAGGTTTATTAAAGGAAGTGCTTTCTTGATAAGATATGACTTTCATAACAGCCCTTTATCCGGAGTCATCACCTCTGTAAGGAGAAATGATTAAGACAGACTGTCCTGGCTTTAACCTGTGTTGGCAGTTCTAGAGTACCTGTGATTAGGTCACTGGCCTTAAAAATTAAGATAATATTTTTAAAAATTAGCAAGCATCATGCAGCCACGTTTGGAGAAGACGTAAAGTTTAGGAAGCTGATCTTCATACCCCAGGCTAACATTGTTCCTGAGCTCTTGCCAAAGCAGGAAATGGGAAGATACCTGCTGGGCCAGTCTCAACCCATGCTTGAGTCAGAGACCTGGTCTCATATTAATTATACAAATTACTAGAAATAGATGATTACTTCACCTGGGGTCAAGACCTCCAGGGATTTGTGAAATAAGCAGTTTATTTCTTTTCCTTCCTCCTTCTCTCCCTCCCCTTCCCTTCATATCCATTCATCGGTCCACCCATTCTTCCATCTGTCTGTTCCTTCGTCTGTCTGTCCATCCATCGGTCCATCCAGCCATCCCCCCACCCACCCATTCTTTCATCTATCTGTCCATCCATCATTCCTTATAGGACAGTTTATTTTTAAATTAATAAAGTTCTCCCTACTTATCATCCACAAATATGTCTTGACGACTGAAAATGAAAAGTTGGGGGGAAAAGGCGCCTTTGTTAAGTGCCTTCTAAGCATACATCATCTCATTTATTTCTCATAGTTACTTTAAAAAGATGTTGTTGTCCATATTATATGGTTAGCAAACGAAGGTGTCTTAGTTATCTCATGCTGCTGTAACAGAAATACCAGAAGTAGATGGCTTGAACAAAGAGAAATTTATTCTCTCAAGTTAGGAGGTTAGAAGTCCAAATTTAGGGTGCCAGTTCCAGGGGAAGTCTTTCTCTACCGGCTCTGGGGAAAGGTCCTTGTCATCAATCTTTCCCTGGTCTAGGAGCTTCTCAGCGCAGGGACCCCGGGTCCAAAGGATGCACTCCACTCCTGGCTCTCCTTGCTTGGTGGTTCCTCTCCTCTCTGCTCGATTCTCTTATATATCTCAAAAGAGACTGACTCAAGATACAACCCAATCCTGTAGATTGAGTCCTGCCTCATTAACATAACTGCCTCTAATCCTGCCTCATTAACATCATACAGGTTAGGATTTACAACACATAGGATTATCACATCAGATCACAAAATAGTGGACAATCACAAAATCCTGGGAATCATGGCCTAGCCAAGTTGACACATATTTTTGGGGACACAGTTCAATCTATAACAGAAGGCTTTGAGAGATTAAATAGTCTGTCTGAGGTCACACAGGCAGTAAGAGGTAGAGCAGGCTGTGAACCCAAAGAGCTCTCTTTCAGTTACCCCACACCATCATCTTAATGCATCATGGCAGTCTTGTCAACTGGAAAATTGTACTCAGATTTCACCTCTATAAGGAGAGCACTGCAGAAGACCTGCCAAGCATTAACACCAAGTGGCTATTCTTACAGGAGCATGAAAAGGAGAACAGAGCGGGAAGCCAAGAAAGAAAAATGAAACAGGCTCATCACTTATTTAAACAATCTGACCCATGGCCAACCTGATTATCCGGAAACCCAGCAAACTAATCTCAAGCTAATCTTGATGGTTTGTGTGGTAACCCCAGGGTAGGATATCTGTACCTGAAATCTAGGCATGGAAGAAAACAAAAGGATCCATTTATCCTGAAAACGGGCGATCCTTACCCTTTATTTTGGATCACTTGCCCCCTTTGAGAATCTAATGAAAGCTACAGATTCTTGGACCGGAAAAATGCACCAATGTAAAAACACAACATTTTGCATAAACTTTCAGGGGATTCTAGGGCCCATGAAGACCATCCTGTGATTCCAAGTTAAGAACACTCTATTTAAGAGCATTTAAAGATTTTAAAGATTGACTTTCTTTTGGTATTTCAAAAGGCTGGACATACATGGAACAATTATGTGACAGCTTAAAAGAACTCAAGGGCCAAGACTTCTTATGAGGGCTTTTCAAATATCATGAAATTCTTGTTTGACTCTCAAAAACAATTCTGAACAGCCTCCAGGAAGCACCTTCACTTGACAGATGTGGAAATCGAGTTTCAATGACTTATCAAAGTCCTTATCCTAGAGCTGGAAGGGATTCCAAAGATCTATGCTCGCTCCAAGGTGATTTTATTCAGGCCTGTGGCTTTCAACTCCATTTATACAATGACGACTCACAATCTTGTATCTCAGGGCTCTCTTGTGGTCCCAAATTGCCTATCTACCTTCTCAACATCTCCACCTGACTCAGTACGTCCAAGACAGGAAGACAAACATCTACGAGTTATCTCTGATCCTTCTGTTACCCTCAAATCCCATGTACAAATCATCAAGTTTGGGCAGTCCCATCTTCAAAGTATAACTAGGATACACACTCCCCACTGGCTACACTGCTAATCTTAGAAGACATAAAACCAGAATGCTCTTTAGATAACATCCAGGGTCAGTGAAAATGAGAGAAACCTTCAATGAGATGGACTGACACAATAGCCACAACAATGTACTCAAACCTACTAATGATCATGAAGATGGTGTAGGACCAGACATTTCATTCCGTAATACACAAGCTTGCCATGAGTAGGAGCCAACTCGACGGCAACTAACAGCAACTAACAACAACGACAATAATAACACGTTACTACCATCCTGAGCCAAGCCATCATCAAATCTTGCCAGGACTACTCTTCCAACAGCTTCCTAACTAGTCTCTGTGCTTCCATCTTTGCCCCCGTTATGGACTGAATTGTATCGCCCGAAAATCGCGTTGGAATCCTTACTCCTATACCTGTGGATGTAATTCTACTTAGTAACAGGTTTTCTTTGTTATGTCAATGAGGTTATATCAGTGCAGGGTGTGCCCTAAACCTCATCACTTCTGAGTGATGTAAAGAGCAGCACAGCGACAGAGATATGAGCGCATACAAGAAGGAAGACAGATGCTGTCTGAGATGCAGCAGACGAATCTACAAGCCGAGGAACTCCAAGGATTGCCAGCTAATAGAAGCTGAAACAGAAGCCCTTGGGTGGCGGAAATGGTTAAGTGCTAGACTACTAACTGAAAGTTTGGCGGTTCAAACCCACCCAGAGATGCTTTGGAAGTAAGGCCTGGCAGTTGGCTTCCAAAAGGTCACAGCCTTGAAAACCTTATGGAGCAGTTCTACTCTGCGCACACGGAGTTGCCATGAATCAGAATCGACTCAATGGCAAGTAACAACAGAAGCTAAAATAGACAAGGAAATGCTTTCCCTTAGAGCCACACCCTGAATTTGGACTTCTAGCCTCCTGAACAGTGAGGAAATAAACTGCTGTTCTTTAAAGCCACCCACTTGTGGTACTTCTGTTACAGCAGCACTTCAGTCTATCAATAAGGCAGCAGATGGAGGGTCCTATAAAATTAAGTCACCTCACATTACTCCTCTGCTCAATTTTCCCAAGACTTCCTATTACCAGAGCAACGCCTGTGTCTTTGCCCTGCCCCACACAACGCGGCCTCCGACCAGCTTTCAGACATTGCCTCACATCACACTCCCTGGATCTCTCAGTTCCAGCCGCACTTGTCCTCATGCTGTTCCTAAAACTTGCAGAGCTGGTTCCCACCTCGGGGCCTTGGTGCTTGCTGTTCGTTGTGCTGGCATGTTCTTCCCCAGATTCTCGTGTGCTTTGCTCCCTCACCGTATTCACAAGTGGGCTAAAACGTCACCCTTTTAAGAGTCCATTCCTGACCACCTTAACTCCCTTCACTCTCTACCCCCTTAAGTAGTTGCCTTCAAGTCGACTCTGACTTGTGGCAACTCCAAGTGTGTCACAGTAGAACTGTGCTCCACAGTTTTCAATGGCTGACTTTCAAGAGCAGACTGCCAGGCCTTTCTTCTGAGGTGCCTCTGGGCAGACTCAAACCTCCAATCTTTTGGTTAGCAGTCAAGCGTTAACCATTTGCACCACCTAGGAACTTCCTCTATCCCCTTATTCTGCTTTATTTTTCTTACAGCATCTATCAGTCCCTGAAACTACATTACATATTTATTTGTTTGTCTCCCCCACCAGACGTAAACTCCATGAAGGCAGTTTTTTGTCTTGTTTACCTCTGTATTCTTGGCACCTAAAACAGCACCTGCCCATAGTGGGCCCTCAGGAATTACTTGCTGAATGAGGAGCTCATCTGGCCCAGACTCTTCACTTTAAGCAAATAAGATCAGGGGAGGCAGTACCCAGGAAATGCTTCTAAGAACACAAGCTCTGGGATTCAAAGCCCAGCTCTGCAAGTTACTGGCCCTGGAAATTATCATAGGCAAATGATCCACTCTCTCAGAACTGCAGTCTCCCGATCAGAAAAATGAGGTTAATAAGAGTACCCACCAAACAGGACTGCTGTAAGGATTAAATGAGACAGTGAACATAAAACATGCAAGACAATGCTTGGCACGTGGTTTAAGTGCTCCATAAAGGATAGCTATGATTGTTATTACAGTTATATGATTATTCTCACTTGTCAGATGAGGCTACCGAGGCCCAGAGAATAAGGGATGGCCCTAAATCATACGGCTAATGAGTTTGGTGGTATGGAGTAGAACTCTTTCCTAAGATTACAGAGCAAACAAGAGGAAAAACGTGATTTGAGGCTGCAAGCTTCAACTTCCAGGATTCTCAGTAGATGATCTTTTCTTTCCTTGTGGACTACCCCCTCACCCTAATCCATATATCCGATATTCTTTTCTTAGCCAGAGGGAGGAAACCTTCTTAGAAAGGAGCAGCAACAGCACATATAACCAATCCAATTTCACCCCAGCATTTGACACAAACCCCGGTTCTCAGGTCCACCAAGCCAAGAGTTACTTACGTAGGTCTGTTCCATACTTGAGTCCCACTTTGGGCACCCAGCCCTTGCTCCGAAAGTAATGGTAGGCCATGTACGTGGTCCTGAACGAGGGCTGAACTGCAGTGAAAGCTTTCCAGAGCTTCAATATCGTTAGAGGCTCCTGAAGTTATTTAAAAAAAAGTTCACTGCAGTACTGTTCACAATAGCCAAAAGGTGGACACAACCTAAATGTCCATCAACAGATGAATGGATAAACAAACTGTGGTATATACATACAATGGAATATTACTCAGCCTTAAAAAAAAAATGAAGTCCTGATACACGCTACATACAACATGGATGAACCTTAAAAACGTTATGTTCAGTGAAAAGGATGAATATTGTATGATCCCAATTACATGAAGTAGGCAAATATACAGACATCAAAGCTTATTAGCGGTTCCCTGGGGTGAGAGGGAGGGGAACAGAGAGTCAATGCTTAAGGAGCACTGAGCTTCTGTTAATGGTGGTGGAATAATTTGGAAATGCATGGATAATCAATGTCACTGAATTGTACACGTAAAAAAAATGTTTAATTGGCAAATGTTTTGTTACTAAACAAATTTTTAAAGAGGCATTATTACACGTATATTCACTCATCATTTGGTCAGTGAATCAACGTCTACACTAGGCGTGGCGCTGTAGTAGAGAATATAAAACAAGCCCAGCACCCTGAGGGGAGGGATTTCACCAGAAGAGCTGGCCCTGCACTGTCCAATGCAGCAGCCACTGGGCCCACGTGCCTGTCCGAACCAAGATGTGCTGGAAGCTTGAATTACACACTCGATTTCAAAGGCTTAGTATGAAAAGAAGAATGTAAAATATGTCGATAATTTTGGATATGTTGGGTTAAATAAAATTATGTAATATATAATTAAAAATTAATTTCACCTGTTTTTTTTTTTTAACATCTTTTTAATGTGGTTACCAGAAAATGTAAAATTACACATGGGGCTTCCCTTATATTTCTATTGGACAGCACTGCTTGAGAGATCTTAGAAAGGCTTCCCCAAGAAAGCAACATTTGAGAATGAGAAAGAAGTAGCTAAATGGAAGGGGGTGGTGTAGGCTACTGGAGGAGGTAGGTGTTGGTGGCGTGGGGATGAACATTCCCGACAGAGGAGCTGGTATATGCCGGGGTGTTCAGTGGAAGCACTCCACCATAGCTGAAGGGCAGCAGGTTCCAAAGACTTCACAGACCCCTAAGAGTTGGCAAATGTTTTGTTACTAAACAAATTTTTAAAGAGGCATTATTATACGTATATTCACTCATCATTTGGTCAGTGAATCAACGTCTACACTAGGCGTGGCGCTGTAGTAGAGAATATAAAACAAGCCCAGCACCCCGAGGGGAGGGATTTCACCAGAAGAGCTGGCCCTGCACTGTCCAATGCGGCAGCCACTGGGCCCACGTGCCTGTCCGAACCAAGATGTGTAAGAGTAGCTTCTGGAGGTCAGGCCATGCTCAGAAAAGCCAGCAATAATTTTGCAAAAGTTCCCCCCACCCCACAAGGTTGCTCCACCTAGTCTTTGAAAGGAGAGAATGTGTTATCAAGTGGCAAGAATTAATAATTCAACTACTTAAAAGAGAATGTGGTTTTTAACGAAGGACTTACAGAGACCGAGAATGGTTTGGTTCAGAAAACATTCTGATGTATCAATATAAAAAAATATAAAACAACAACAAAACAAACCAGGTACGTTTCGAAAAGTGTCAGCTTCATTTCAGTGCTCAGAGAAACAATCTTTCTTCCAGAATCCAGTCGCTCCATGGGATTTGCTCATTTGGGCTCAACTGAAACTTTTAACGCCATAGCATGATTTGGAGTTGTTTTTTGTGTTTTCTTTGCAACTGCTCCTTAGGTGGAAACTTCCTGCGTGTGTGGATTCTCCAAATCCCATTGCAAGTAACACCCACCCCATCCCCCCAACAAGCAACAGTCTCATAGAAAATTCTGGCTACATTTCCAATATGGACAGTCCAACATTTTTCAGATGTTGGGGTTTCTATGGAGTGGCTGAAAGGTTACCAGAATGTTCTGACAAATTCCAGTTAAGGCCCAGGAGAGGAGGCGGGGTGGGACTATGACCATGGCCACCATCTGGGAAAATGACTCACCATCAGCCGTACACTCATTCACTGGGATACTTGTGAAAAAGATTTTTGTAATTAGAATTTCATAGATGATAAAACTATATACTCTCAAGAACAGAATCAAATATACTTTCTCTGTTCTATTTACTGTTTTGCTTACTTTTTGCTCTTTAATTTTAATTGTAGTGGAACTATGTTGACTAGGTATTCTACTTACATGATTAAAAATTCAAGAAGTACAGAAAGTACACAGTGAGGAATCCCCCTCCCACCTGCATGCCCCAGCCTCCCAGCTCGTCTACCTGGAGGCAAGGAATGGAATCAATTCCTCGTGCGACTATCTTTCCTCTAAAGAAATCAGGCTACGGTACAAAAACGCAGGCTTTACAACATGGATGTAACTTGAAAACATTATGAAGTTAGTCAATCACAAAAGGACAAATATTGTATGATCTCACTAATATGAAATACCTAGACTAGGTAATGTATAGAGATCGAGTTTAATATTGGCTACCAAGGGTGGGAGGAATCATTGTTTAGGTAACATAGAGCTTTTGTTTATGGAGATGGAAAATTTGGCAATGGATATCAGTGATGGTTGCACATGATTGATGTAATCGGTTTTACTGAATAGTACAGTTGAAAAATGTCGAATTAGCAAACGTTGTGTTCTCCCTCTGTTTACCACAATAATAATTAAAAAATGTTAAAAACAAAGCATTGGGGTAACCATAACATAGCTTCAAATACTACTTCTAACCGCACTAACCGTGTGACCTTGGGTGAGTTAATTAATTTCTCTAAGCCTCGGCTACCTGACCTGTAAGATTCTTCCCAGGTGGATGTAAGGATTGGAGGTACTGCATGTGACGTGCTGTCCCACAGCTGGTATTAAACATTGGCAGCTCTTACTTTTTTTGCTAATTTTCAGTGTTGTTCTGACACAGATTTCCTGATCATTATATAAGATATTGCTCTTCGCCTAGTCTCTGGGAATGAAATCCAGTCTAAAAGGGTAAAAACTGGCTTTTGCCTGAACAGTCTCAATTTAGAACCCAAAACTTTTAGAGAAAAAATTCAATTCCTATATACTCAATGGAAGTAAGCACATTTGTATTAAAGCAATATGGGAATTAGTACAACATTGCTTTTTTAAAAAAAATGTGTGGTAAACACACACACACACACACATAAAACAAAACACTTGCCATTTCAACATTCTTCACATGTATAGTGACATTAACTTATGTTCATCATGTTCAACCGTCACCCTATCCATGCCCGAAGTTTTCCACCACAACACTGCTTTTAACATCAGGAAAATGTTAAGTGGATCGTGTCTAAATAAAACATCTTACCTCCTCATAGTAAATACTAAGACATCCCAGAGCATAGACCAGGAAGAATGCCTAAAAACAGACAAGGTAGAAAACGCTCATTAAAATAATTCCATGTTCTTGAGAAATTTCAGATTGATTTCTCATCATCATCAAAATGGTCACATATTTTTAACAGAAATGGTTCATTCAAATTTCAAGAATTAAAAAAAAAATCTAAGAAAATATAAATGTCACAAACTGGTTTAAATCAGTAAAAAACAAAATATGTGTATAGCTTTTCCATATTTTTTTCCTTAAAAAACCACATAGCTTAACTGAAGACTGATCTAAGTATCTATAATAACAAAAAGCTTTACTTATTGGATTTTCCCCAATAAAATAAATAACCATATTAAACTGAGAAAGAAATCTGTGTAAAGTGCAGATTTTGCTTGCATAACAAAATGAGTTTCTCAGTCATCCTGGCTGTAAAGTCATTTTTTATTGAGTAAACCATCTCTTGGCACTGAAGTCCCTGGGTGGTGCAAATGGTTAATGTGCTCAGTGGCTAAACTGAAAAGGCTGGCAATTCAAGTCCACTCAGAGGCACCTTGGGAGAAAGGCTTGGTGATGTACTTCCGAAAAATCAGCAATTGAAGACCCTGTGAGGCACTGTTCTACTCTGACACCCATGGAGTCAGCATGAGTTGGAATCGACTTGACTCCAACTCATTCATCTTTGCACTGACTTCATTACGTAATGATAGGTTTTACTTATATGGGGGAGGCAGGAGGATGGCAAAAAAAGTTGGCCCTAGTTGAATAAAATCACACTTACTTACATAGAAATAAAAATAGCTTTCTGATAAAATAATACAATGCCAAACACCAACAGTACCCAAATAGTCTTGCGTTGTTTACTTGTATAGGGTGATTAGGATCTCGTATATACCGCAACAGACAGGTTCGCAGTAAGTAGTGGCTAAATGGTAGCCATTAGTTAAACTGGGTTACTTTTCTTTACATATGAGAGTTAAAGATTAGATTTATACCCAAAAAACAAACATTCTGCTTCTGCTAACACTTCTGGGTCTTCTTACATAGTATGGAAAGAGAAATGTAGGCCTCCCCCTCCCTTTTCAGGGTCCTCATGCTTCTGTTTAACAGCCGTGTGTCACAAACAACACTTCCTCAAGCTTGGTTCCTCACTCCCAATTCCAGCACATGCATAGGAACAAAGGACAAGAGGATTTAAGGGAGATAAGCTATACAGAAGTAGGGGATTTCAAGCGGCTATAAGCTCCTGCTAAGGAAACATTTTAGCAATCTCTCAGGAATTGTCCAAATGCACCCTACTGGCATTTTCTGCCTGGCTAGCTGATGATGGTTCTTTTTAGAGCAGTGGTTCTCCAAGTGTGGTCTGGGGAACCCTGGGGGTTCCCAAGACCCTTTCAGGAGGTTTCAAGACCAAAACTATTTTCATAATAATACGAAGATGTTATTTGCCTTTTTCACGCTCACAGCCAGAGGCTGTGAGATGTGTGATATCACAACAGACTGAATACAGAAGCAGATGTGGAAATCCAGCTGACTTCTATAATGCCTGATCTTCAAGAGATTTGCAAAAAAGAAAAACGCCTTTTCTCACGGAAATTTTTTGAGAGTTATTTTCATAAAAATATTACTTCTGTTAACATATAGTGAGTTTACTCTTCCTTTAAATGAGTTAATAAACAAATATTTAACATTCTTCTCAGTTTTAATCTATAATTTGGTAAACGTCGATAGATATAACCCACATAAAATGTTCTTTGGAGTCCTCAATAGTTTTTAAGAGTAAAAGGGTCCGCAGACCACAATGTTTGAGAACCACTACTTTAGCTTTACCCAAATCCAGTCCTAGAGCTTCTCTGATGAAGACAGCTGGCTGCCTATCTATTAGCCCACTTCACACCTTCCCATCCAGGTCCTGACCACATCACTTCTTCCTTGGACATCCTTGGCCTCCTTCTTCTTCCCTGTACAGTCCCTTCTCCACAGCAGCCCAAGTCATCTTCTTAACATGTGAAGAGCACGTTGCTGCCCTGGTCTGTGATTGTTGCTGGTTGTCATCAAGTTGGCTCCAACTCATGGAGACCTTACGTATAACAGGAAGAAATGCTGCCCGGTCCTGCACCATCTTTATGATTGTTGGTATGCTTGAGTCCATTGTTGTGGCTACAGTGTTAATCCATCTGATTGAGGGTTCCCCTCATTTTTGCTGACACTCTACCAAACATGATGTCTTTTTCTAGTGACTGGTCTTGACGTGTTTTCTAGTGACCAGTCTTTCCTAATTACACGTCCAAAGAAAGCTAGCTGAAGTCCAGCCTTCCTCCCTTCTAAGGATACGCATGCAAAAGCTGCCCTGGTTAGAACCCTCCAAAGTGCTTTCACTGCACTTGGAATAAAGTCCAAATTGCTTGCTACCACCTCCAAGCCCCTGCAGGGCCCTACTACCACTCTCTAGCTGCTCTGACTCCGCATCCATCTCCAGAATATGCTAAGTTTGCTCTGTTCCTACCTTCCCCTCTGCAATTGCTCTCTCCTCTACCAGAATGCTCTGCCCAGACTCAAAGCTCTTCTTGACCCCTTTGATATGACCCCCACCCCGATCATCTTCTTCATAGCACTTACTGCTGTCTGAAAACCTCTTCTTACTTGTGTCTCACCCACTAGAGAGCAAACTCTGTGAGAGCAGAAACTTTGCCTAGAAGGGGGTCTGGCACATGATGAATGTTATGGGTTGAATTGTGTCCACCAAAATATGTACTGAAGTGCTGGCCTCTGTACCTGTGAACGTGATCCTGCTTGGAAATAGGGGATTTCTCGTTATGTCAATGAGGCCATACCAAAGTCAAGTGGGTCCCAAATCTAATCACTTCTGTGTTATAAAAAGAGCAAATACACAGAGACACACACAGGGGAAAGACAGATAAACAAAGACAGGTGTACCTACAAGCCCAGAAACACCAAGGGTTGCCAGCAGCTACTTTGCTGTTATGTTGTTGTTAGATGCTGACGAGTCGATTTGGATTCATAGTGACCCTAGGTACAAAAGAATGAAACACTGCCCAGTAATGCACCATCCTCACAATTCTTATTCTTGTTGTACTTGAACCCACTGTTGCAGCCACTATGTCAGTAGATCTCACTGAGGGTCTTCCTCTTTTTTCGCTGACCCTCTACTTTACCAAGCATGATGTCCTTCTCCAGGGACTGGTCCCTCCTGATAACATGTCCAAAGAACATGAGACCAAGTCTTGCCATCCTTACTTCTGAGGAGCATTCTGGCTGTACCTCTTCTAAGACATATTTGTTCATTCTTCTGGCAGTCCACGGTATATTCAATACTCATCACCAACACAGTAATTCAAAGGTGTCAATTCTTCAGTCTTCCTTATTCACTGTCTAGCATTTGCATGCGTATGAGGCGACTGAAAATACCATTGGCTAGAGTCAGGCGTACCTTAGTCACCAAAGTGACATCTTTGCTTTTTAACGCTTTAAAGAGGTCTTTTGAAGCAGATTTGCCCAATGCAATGCGTTGTTTGATTTCTTAACTGCTGCTTCCATGGGCATTGATTATGAATCCAAGTAAAATGAAATCCTTGACAACTTCAATATTTTCTCCATTTATCACCATGTTGCTTACTGAACCAGCTGTGAGGATTTTTGTTTTCTTTACGGTGAGGTGCAATCCATACTGAAGGCTCTAGTCTTTGATCTTCGTCAATAACACAAGCAAGGTTGTGTTACCTGCATATTGCAGGTTGTTAATGAGTCTTCCTACAATCCTGATGCTGTGGTTCTTCTTCATACAGTCCAGCTTCCTGGATTATTTGCTCAGCATACAGACTGAATAAATATGGTGAAAGGATACAACCCTGACGCACACCTTTCCTGACTTTAAACCACGAAGTATTCCTTTGTTCTGTTCGAATGACTGCCTCTTGGTCTATGTACAAGATCTTCATGAACACAATTAAGTGTTCTGGAATTCTCATTCTTCACAATGTTACCTATAATTTATTATGATCCACACAGTCGAAGGCCTTTGCATAGCCAATAAAACACAGGTAAACATCTTTCTGATTATTGTCTGCTTTCAGCCAAGATTCATCTGACATTAACAGTGATATCCCTCGTTCCAAGACCTCTTCTGAATTTGGTTTCAATTTCTGGCAGTTCCCTGCTGATGTACTGCTGCAACCACTTCTGAATGATCTTCAGCAGAATTTTATTTGTGTGTGATATTAATGATATTGTTTGATAATTTCTGCATTCTGTTGGATCACCTTTCTTTGAAATGGGCACAAATATGGATCTCTTCCAGTCAGTTGGCCATGAAGCTGTCTTCCAAATTTCTTGACATAGATGCGTGAGCACTTCCAGCACTGCATCAGTTTGCTGAAACATCTCAGTTGGTATTCCATCAATTCCTAGAGCCTTGTTTTTTCACCAGTGCCTTCAGTGCAGCTTGGGTTTCTTCCTTCAGTACCATCGGTTCTTGATCATATGCTATCTCCTGAAATGGTTGAACATCAACCAATTCTTTTTGGTATAATGACTCTGTGTATTCCTTCCATCTTCTTTTGATGCTTCCTACATTGTTCAATATTTTCCCCATAGAATTCCTCAATATTCCAACTCAAGGCTTGAATTTTTTCTTCAGTTCTTTCAGCTTGAGAAATGCTGAGTGTGTTCTTCCCTTTTGGTTTCTTAACTCCAGGTCTTTGCACATTTCATTACAATATTTTACTTTGTCTTCTCAAGCTGCCCTTTGAAATCTTCTGTTCAGCTCTTTAACTTCATAATTTCTTTCATTCACTTTACTACTCTACATTCAAAAGCAAGTTTCAAAGTCTCTCCTGACATCCATTTTTGTCTTTTCTGTCTTTTTAATGACTTTTTGCTTTCTTCACGTATGATGTCCTTGATGTCATTCCATAACTCGTCTGGTCTTGGGTCATTAGTGTTCAATGAGTCAAATCTATTCTTGAGATGGTCTCTAAATTCAAGTGGGATATACTCAAGCTCGAATTTGGCTC